GAGCCAGCAGTGTGCCCAGGTGGCCAAGAAAGCCAACGGCATCCTAGCCTGTATCAGGAATAGTGTGGTGAGCAGGACTAGGGAAGTGATCATCCCCCTGTACTCGGCACTGGTGAGGCCCCACCTCAAGTACTGTGTTCAGTTTTGGGCCCCTCATTACAAGAAGGACATTGAGGTGCTGAAGCGTGTCCAGAGAAGGGCTACAAAGCTGGTGAGGGGTCTGGAGGACAAGCCCTATGAGGAACGACTGAGGGAACTGGGCTTGTTTAGCCCGGAGAAGAGGAGGCTGAGGGGAGACCTCATCACCCTCTACAACTACCTGAAAGGAGGTTGTAAAGAGGTGGGGGCTGACTTCTTCTCCCTGGTGAAAAGTGATAGGACAAGAGGAAATGGATTCAAGTTATGTCAGGGGAGGTTTAGATTGGATATTAGGAAACATTTTTTCACTGAAAGAGTCATTAGACATTGGAATAGGCTGCCCAGGGAGATGGTGGATTCGCCATCCCTGGAGGTGTTTTAAAAAAGGGTAGATGTGGTGCTTAGGGATACGGTTTAGAGGTGGTTTTGTCAGGGTACGTTAATGGTTGAACTTGATGATCTTAAAGCTCCCTTACATCCTTAGCGATTCTATGATTCTATGACTTACGAGATGGGACACAGCACAGAAACATTAGGAAGCCAGCTCAGGACCAGCAGTGGCCGATGCATGCTGTTAGCAGGCAGAGCAGTGGGAAAGAGCACCACAAAGGCACCAAAGGAGATTTACAATACTCATTGCTGTAGCCAGACACGGTACTGGTACACTGTACTGCTTGGAACAGCCCTAGTTATCCAGGACTTTCCTAGATACCGTTGTCACACCTCACATTGCTTACAGATACAGGAGAATGGGTTGAATTATATTTTTGAATGCAGCAGAGCACACAGAAAAAAAATGAAAAAGTGCAATGAATAAGATACATGACTAAATTTGAAATGTGTGTAAACTCTATTAAACCCATGCCATTTGTGCTGGGACTATGGTCAGGCCTAACAATAAGTAAGTACAGAGAGTACTGGCTGACAACACGGAAGACTGTAGCTTAAAACAAACATACCGATTATTAGCATGAGGCTTGTCTTCACACAAACTAGCAAAAATAAAAAGAAAAAAATCACACAAGGAAACTTGAGTATCTGTGGTCTCCAGAAAGGGAAAAAAATAGCAAAACACCATATTTGTGTTGAAAAATAAAACATATTCCATCACTTGTAATCGTCTTTAAAAGTAAAAGCAAAACAGCTTAAGCAAAAGACCCTTCTCTTTTAACAGATGTTCAAAAATTAACTACACGCAAAACCTGTTGATACCAAATCAATTAATATATACCCAACCTTTATAGTTAGATACTAACACCATAAATCACAAATAATTTCCACACTTTCTAAAACTAAATAACAATCAAAGCACTTAAGTTAGCATAGATCATAAATGGAAACACGTGCTGCAACCCACCTCACCTCCTGAGAAAGTTCATGCCAGATGCGTAACATACAATATGGTTACCAGTAACGTGTATTGCTGTTGCTTTCAAAAAAAGTGTCATGAACTCTGAAATAGATTTTCTCCTCAAACTCCGTCACATCCTCCCCATCTACCTGCCACTCAGTTTATGGTTTCAACAAGCTCTCCTGCCACATACACACTTTCAGCAAATTAACTTTTAGGACTGCAAGCTTTACCTAGTCCGTTCATGGCATTTTGAAGAGTCCTGATGTATATTGACATGCATAGTGAACTTACTCAGGATCATGAGATGGGCCGGTCATCCTGACGTCAGCATAATGCAGCGTAAGTTTATTCTTTTGACAGTAATGGTTGATCCTCTCCATACACTCACGTTCCATTTTGACACAATCTCAAAAAGGTTCTGAAAAGCAATATTCAAAGATATGTCTGTGCCTCCAGGCACAGTATAGAGACAACCCCTAATCCTGGCAGGCCACTGCTGTGATACCAAATAGAAAACTGGTGCCAATACTATAAAGTTCACAGAAAACTAACTCTAATTTGTAATTCGAGTGGTTGATCTTCAACCGTTTTTGAAGACTCATTGCTTGGTATAACAGATTTAGAAAGCAGAGCATAGAATTTAGTAAAGACAGAAGATTTCTTAGCAGATTTCTTGGCAGGAAAAGGCTGAATCATTCACCCAATTCTGTGGAAAAAAAGAAAAAAAAAAAGAAAAAAAAAAAGAAAAACCAGCAACGTTTCTCCAGGCAGAATTATAATCGATTCCTTCAAAGGGGAACCAAGAGGGATGTTAACATATCGTTTCGAAGCGCAATGACTGTCACACTCAGCGTCACATACCGAAGACGAACGCGGGCTTCCGGCAGGCCGAGCACCGCTAGAGCCGGGTGCGGGCAGACTGCCTCGGCGGCACAGGTTGGCTCCCCT